AAAACAGTTTCTTGTGAAGTTGGCCCTGTAGGCAGTTCCTCAGGATGCTGTGGTTTTCGAGGTAGAGTTATTTTTTTGTTACCTTCCGTTGCTTTTCCTTCTCTCCCTCATCCACACACATTTGAAATTGTGCTTCCCCACATCCACTGCAGAGGGTTATGCTCCCACCAGACTTCCAGTCCAAGCACACAAATCATTCAAATGTTCTGGGTCTCTGCACATCAGCCTATACTGGGTCAATTTTGCACTAACATGATGCTCTTATGGACACACAACATCAATGTATGCCTACATTGCACTCCCAACTTACTTCTCTTGCAACCAGAGGGTGTCAATAATGGACTTCATGATTAGAAGTGTCACGTTGTGGCTGAATCTCAACTGCATTAGGCAAAATTGATTCCTCTTGATCATCACATTTTGATATGGCCGTAGTGACACATGTACGTGTACTTGAAGATATGCTTTTCACAAGTCAAGTATGGCCACATTTGCTCCTTGTTGTTGCAACTCATGCAGTTTGGCCAAACAAATGTCTGCATTTGCAGTGAACATATCAATATGTTTGTTGAGCTTGTGATAGTCCATCACTGGGTGCACCTTTCCTTTGTTATGCTGCACGGCAGCCATTAATAGCAGAAAGCCTTTGATTGACTCCAGTTTCTTTTTGGGGTATGGTATTATCCAACCATTGGTGATCCATGCCTGAAGATCTTAATCATAGGCATGTTGTGTAATGGAGCTGGCATCACACCAGTTGTCCACTTACATTTTGCACTCCAGATCCTTTGCTGATGCTTGAATTCCACAGAAAAGTCAGGTTGGTCACTACTGATTGCTGCGCATGTTGGTGTTTCTTTGCTATAAAACTGTACAGCTCCAGTGTGCATGATATGGATGACATCTAATACTGTTATCACATTTATTTCAGCAAGTAAATCAAAGCCTACAGGTTTGTCACTCACCATAAGAACATCAACCTTAGCCGACTTGCCACTGTCTTGACACCACAGCACACCTGCATTCTCCACATCTACATGCTTTCTAGCTTACAACCAACATCACTCTGCACTAACGATCAACTGACAGCAGCCAATGAGAGCTGAACATTATTCCCTATTGTCTAATACATTGACTACAGCACCACATTTATATCTGGGCGGGGAATAAGACTGGTGCTAATGTCCTGCTCCCCTGATCTGTTTCCTGGAGATTTCTGTGATATATAGCCCAGTTTGTCACAGCAATAGCATTGTATGGCTTTGTCTCCTTGCTGGCTCCCACTTTGTCCAGTGCGTCGACTCAAACAATATCTAGCCAAGTGATTAGCACCACAAAATCTGTGGCAGACAATATCACTCTGTGTATCATTGGCAGAGGTCAAGTCTGTACCCAGTTGCTCAGGCTTTGTAGTTGCCATGATCAATTCTGTTGCCAGTGTATCATCCTTCAGTATGGAACTAGTCCGATCTAATAGCAGGTTGACATCCAGTGCATCCATTCAAGAGGAAGCATGAAGCAGCTTCCTAACATGCTCAGGCAACCCTGCTACAAATGCAAGTCCATGGTTAGACAACCCTTCATATAAAGTTGACAGTCAGTGGAGATCTGCTAAGTAGATGTCCACAATTCTGTTTGAATTCAAGTGCCTATCTACAAACAGGTTGTATGCTACAAAGGGATCTGTGGCAAAGGCAACATGCAGGGCATCCCTGATACAGCCTACATCTTTTCTTTCTTCCTCGCTGAGTTGTTGGACCACATCAAACACACCTCCTATCAATCGAAGTAGCAGACTGCTAGCAATGTTCTTCATGTCATACATATCAGACTAGTTCAAACTATTCAACTATAGTTAGACCATAGTCTGAACCATCAAATTCAGGGATTAACTTCAGGTCAAACTTGCCTTCAGCCATGAGTATTAAAATAACTTCTAGAGGAAACACTTAACTGCTCTCCTAACAACTATGGGGATAAGGAGAGGGGAAAGATACAGGAGGTAACAAAAATAACACTGCTTTGGAAACCACAGAACCTTGGAACAAAATGCCCATGGGACTGACTTCACAAGACGCCGTGTCTTGCCAACTGCTGTTTTCCCTAGAGCTTTTATTGGCATGAGGTATCTTACAAAGACCCAGATCTTGACCAGTCACAGAGAGGCCTGTATCTAATGAGACATACCAAACTGTCCCATTGCTAACAGGAAAAACCTGGATGTAATTGGTGTTGACAAACATGTCCGCATGTGATCCAAGTTCTCTTTTGTGTCTATAATGATGCATGTTCGCCACATTAATTCAATAACGTAACCGTATTCTTAAATTCTGTAGTGTATTTACAATTTGTTTTACATTGTTTATAAATGCAATTAAATGTGGTGGATTGTTAATCTAGTCATATAGTTTATTTTAGATATTTTTTATAGAATATCAACAGAAAATATCAGTGGGATGTGAAAAGTAATGCAGAATGTTCAATGAATCTGAGAAATATAAGGATTCATAGAATTCATTAGTAGCTTTGCTAGATAAATAATATTTATAGCAGTAGCATTTTGTGTGCATTTGGAAAAGTTTATATAGATTGTAATAGGTATTAATTACTACTATTGTTATTTTTATATATGTATATGATTTTAAACAAATTTCAATAAATATTTAATCTCTTTTTATGACATTTTGTTTTCTTTTACAATGCTTTGAGCATCTATTGAGCCTTAAACTCAACACAGACCTCAAGTGGAGCTAATACATACAATACATTGCTAAAGATGCTGGAAAAATGGTCTGTTTCAGTAAGTACCTTACTCCTTGTACTATCCCCTACCTTTACAAAAACCAGATCAGGCCCAAAATAAAGTTCTGACATTTATGGGCAGGAGATGCTCAGTTGTCACTTTCCAATCGTGATAGTTTAAAAGTGTCTCAATGTCCTCATAGGTGACAAATTATTTTACACCCTACTTTACTTTATGACAGAGGAAATGTCACAAGTCTCTCACTGCTCTATTGCTATTTCCATGGAATATGCTTAGACAAAGCACATTCCTTCATTCTACCAGTTCTTATCTTCATGCCTAAGATCTTCCATGCTACACAAATTGTAGCGAACTGCCCTCATTCCCTTTCTTTGTGAGATGTAAGTTACACTCGAGCAGCTTCTTCCTGCAAACTGCTGCTCTGTGGAACTATTCATTCTAGGATTAACCATTCCCCACGTAATCTTTCCCATCAATTGTGTTTTTTATTCTGACCCTCTATCTTGAGTTGTACAGGGTGAACATCATTGTGTAAAACAATAATTTTCAGATATCTTTATCTTATCTTACCTGACAATGTCCACTAGTCAATTCTTTTGTTTAACTTGATAATACTTATTTTAGCATTTTCATTTTCAAGAAATCTTTTTGACAGTTTTTATCTAATCACAGTATCAACTACTTTTTTTAGTCCTTATTAACTTTAGCTGATTAGTGAAGTGAAAGTCTCTAGAGTTTTAAAAATGTTGGCTTTGAATGATTCCCTTCCGTTTTAAAAAGTGATATTTCAAGTTCACGGCAAATTTCATATGTTTTTTCTTTAAGAATAATGGAAATCTTTTTGTCAATAAATTAAAAAGAAAAAAAAAATCAACAATTGCGTGCAACGTGAACTCTGTTTTCATTGTTAATCATCAACACGACCAAAAGGGAGATAATTAGGAATTGACGATAGGAAAAATGAAACGTTCAATGCAATGCAACCTAACTTAATTTATTTTGTAACATGACAGTTATTCGATTGATTCCAACAGAATTTTTCTATTTATTTTAAACAGAGAAAAAGTGCTGAGAAATCAATTTGCTCTTTTTCTTACATACGCATAAAAAATGTAACTAACAAGATAGAATATCGTCTACGCCTTTACGCCGCATGAACGGTCAATTTTTTTAAAAACAACAAAAAAGATAAAAAGAAATATTTTAAATGTGGGAGGGTAACACTGCTAGAACTTAGAAATATATCGTCAATAGTTTTACTTATTGACCTTCTTACAATATGAACACGGTAACATCAAAATAATTTGTTTCGCTTAATTGAATGGCTCACTCAATCAATAAGGAATATTTTTTTTTAACCATGTCCACTATTTTATTTTTACACAACATAAGGGACACTTTAAAATTTAGTGTGAATTGGAATTGCTTAGTTCGACTAGAAAAACAAACAAAAATCTTCCGTGATCCCAAATTATTTAAAACCTTCGGAAAACGAATCGAAAATTAGGTAATAAATAAATAAATACATAAAGTAAAATTTAAAATTAAAAATATTAGGGAGCATTGGAAAGGAACACTATTTTTTCAATTGCCGTTGTGACAAGCAAATTGACTTTTTGTTTGGACTCAAAAAAACAGACAAGAAATTAAAATTATGTTTTTAATTTAAGGTTTTTAGTTTTAGTTTGTTTTTTGGGGTATGGATCGATGAAAATTCAACAAAAAAAATCTTTTTATTTTTCAAAAATAAATTTTGTGATGTTTGTTTATTTAACCAGATTTTTTTCGACTAAATAAAATATTTTTATAAGTATACAAATAAAAAAATACTTATTAGGAAGAGAAAGCAAGCCATTTAAAGCTTTCCGTTCTTTTAAAAATTAAAAAGAAACACTAAAAACAGTGAAGAAACTAAGTTAAGTAAATTTTTTAAAACTTACTAATAAAATTCAAAACTGTGACAATAAAGGCATATGTAGTTGACCTGAGCAATTCCTGATATCGACAATAATATGATTGAGAAAAGTAACTGAATTGTTTATTAATTAACAAGTAAGAGCAAAGGGAGGCGGTTCCCATCAAAACAAAACACACAACAAGAAGTAGATTATTTTTAGAATACAGTTGTTGGATATAAAAAAAAATTGGGCGTGACACCTACTGCCTGGAGAGCACTTTGAAGCAGACTGATCTATTAGTAAATTTCTTAATTAATTAATAAGAAGTGTGTATTTACCGCAGGGGAAAGGACCTGTGTTGAGATAGATTCCGTTTCACTACTTACATCCACCGGAGAAGGTGCCACCGGGGGCGCCATTTTGTTTTGTCTGTATCACGTGAAATAGCAAAACAAATATGTAGAGTAGAGTCGTCCAAGGTTATTAACTCTTAATTTGTGTTCTTACTTGTCTCCCTTGTAGAACATCTGCTGTGCAAAAAGTGATAAACTTGGTTCACAAACCATGTACCAGTGATTTTGATTCTCACAGAGTGCTTCAAACCGGCTAATTTCCACCGCAGGAATAACTTGTTTAGAGCACAGGGCTGAAGATCAAGATTTTTGTTAAGACGAATGAAAACTAAATAAACTTGCAGTAGAAAGAAAGATTGAAAAATCTAAAAACGAAATTGTTTTAATGTTTTAACAACTTTAAGTTAAAAAAAAGTCTTTAACATACCTCCTATACCTATATTGAATTTGTTATATTGGAATATTTTATTTTGGCAACAATCCCATTTTTTTAATACAAGTTTCATTAAAGAAGATTGACAACGTACTGTGATTAAGCTTTTTTTTTTATTTAATTTTTTTTTAGACAAGTAACAGCAGTAAATAGGCCAAAAAGCTATGATTGTGCGACGGAATCTAATTACACAAAGCCGGTAATGGCGGACGAATCACCGCAAGGATCAAGGCAAGACATTGCTCGGCACCTTGCAAATACAGCTCCAAAAAAACTAAGTCGGAAAACTAAACTGCCGGCGGGTTGGAGCGGCAGAACCCCCCGGTAAAAACATACGAAGCCGCCTTTTCTACGTATGGGACCGACGAAAACACATAAAGTTTTTAATGGACACAGGAGCAGTAATCAGTGTGATACCCCCCAGAGAACAGCAAGACCGAAAGGCGGCCCGTATACGCTCCAGGCAGCAAACGGCTCGACGATCGAGACATATGGGACCAAGACACTGACTCTTACCATCGGCATGCGGCGTGATTTTACCTGGACTTTCACCCAGGCAGACGTAAAAACGCCAATACTCGGAGCAGATTTCCTGGCCCACTATGACCTAGTCATGCATATGAACACGAGGACTTTATCAGACAACACAACGAACATTTCTGTTAAAGGCACCCTCTCTCGACACAACACCACTGGAATCAGTGTAACAATTTGCCACGGACGAGAATACGTCGAGATCCTAAATAGATACCCAGACATCATTCAACCACTCGCGGGTACCGGTCCGGCAAAACACCAAACGCAGCATTACATAAAGACCAGTGGACAGCCAACATTTTCCCACCCACGACGACTTCCTCCTCATAAGCTTGAATACGCCCAAAAGGAATTCAAGAATATGCTGATGGACGGATTCATACGACCCTCCGATAGCCTATACGCCTCACCCCTACATCTCGTGCCTAAACCGGGAAGCACGGACTTTAGGGTATGCGTCGATTACAGAAGATTGAATGCCACAACCATACCCGATCCAGGCCGACCCAGCTTCAGCAGCAGAGGCCGACCCAGCCTCAGCAGCAGCAGGCCGACCCAACTTCAGTAGCAGCAGCAGGTCGACCCAGCTTCAGCAGCAGTAGCAGCAGGCCGACCCAACTTCAGTAGCAGCAGCAGCAGGCCGATTCAGTTTCAGCAGCTGCACCCGACTGCATGATATGCACTAGTCCTTTTCAGGACTACACTCGGCTACATGATATGCACTAGTCTACACTCGGCTACATGATATGCACTAGTCCTTTTCAGGACTACACTCGGTTACATATGCACTAATCGTTTTTCCGGACTACACCCGGTTACATGATTTGCGATAGTCCTTTTCAGGACTAATCTAGCCACGTTATTACGAATGTCCTTTTATTAGAACTATGGGATAACGCAGTTATCCCATCTACAACATTCTACGCGCGTGCGCGTTTCACCCCTTTCCTTCCTCTTTCAGTCAGACATAGCAGTAAACTGGTTTTTGTCGTCAGTCAAGCTACCTGCTATTCCCTCTTATGCAAATTAGATTTTTGAAATCTTCCCGCGAAATTTCTTTGACGTCACGGACAAAGCTGTTGGTTCAAAAAAAAGATTAGTTGTGATCCAAACTCAGACCTAAGCAGAGACTCATTTATCCCTGTCGATATTTAAGGTTGAGAGACGAGGGATATCTTACGATGCAATCACCAATAATTAATTCTTCGTCCCTTTTGCCTCGTCGCAAAATAATTCTCATCAAATCGATGCTTCTATCGGCAACCTTTTTTCTCGACCGAAGACTAACTTCTTAGAAGAACTTCCTCCGGTTTTCTATCAGAGAAACTTGGTACGTACGTCTTCGTCCTCACAACACGCTTTGGATGACTAGAATTTTCTCGTCGAGTGACTAACGTCTTGTCCGAACCTGCCTTGCCACTAGCAAGGGAACAGAACTTTTCACATTCATCGAACTCTAATCTGCTTTGAACCAGTACCTAAAAAAAAAAAGAAATATACATAACATTACACTGACACTAACAAAAAACTTGCAGTGAGTATTTTTCTTTGTATGTATAATATTCCGTGTAGATTGACTTTTCTGGAACCTTCTTCCTCAAGAACTTTTCCCGCCTTAGCCATCTTGCTTTCCGGTTTTGGCGCGGAACATTTTCATTGATCTCTACCACGAGATAAGTTACTTGTTTTCTTTCATTTAATAAAAAAAACTACTCTTGTTTGAATCCAGTCTTTTTCTGTCATTCTGTGCAGGCTATCTTCTTAATATATTTAATTTATGCACGTGTGGACTAACCACATTCCTTCGTTGTTCATTCACGCATTTTATTTTTTCTTTTATACATTGCTTGTGGACTCGGTAGTTTAGTGTGGTGTCTGGCACAAGGCCACTTTGTAATAAACCAGCACTGCACGCTACCGGGCCTGAAACAGAACTACCAAGCTGCGATCTTGCACGACTGTCATGCCAAGGACAAACAGACTACACCAGCGCCGTCCGCGTCGATCCTCTCTCTTCTCAAGCGCCGACGCGCTCTTTACACAAGTACAAACATCCGGGGATCGACTGGACCTCGAACATCGCTGTTCCATTCGGCCTACCTCCGAGATGTCGCTTTGAAACCTGACAATGCTCCTTCAACTGACACTCTCTAACTTCACGACCGAACTCCAGCAAACAATTATCTGTACATACTTTTGCCAGATTATTTAATAAAATTTGGCTTAAACTTTTACATCCTCGCCTTTGTTGTCCTTGCTTCGATCGTATTACCCTATATTATTTTTCTGCTTGCGGGGTTAACAGACACCTGCTTAACGCCGCAACACCTTTTCTTTTTCATATCTCGTGTGTACTTTTTTAATTTGGATGGTGTTCGAGAATTTTTTTAGTTATATAAAGAATAATTCCTGAAGATGTTATTTCAGTAAAAAAAATGTAATATCAAGTGAGAACGAACCGAAAATTGTCCTGAACCTTACAGTAAATTAAAAAAAAATTAGAGTTGGTACTTGCATAATTTAATAAAATACATTATTTTCTTTCAGATCGGAAAGGAAAAAAGCTGCACCGAAGATTTATTTTTAAAAGATTTAAATATAATTTTTCAGTGCGATTTTGAAATTCCTCCCGTAACAATAGTAGTACTTATTAAATAAAGACATGTTTGAAGAATCAAAAAGTTTACCATTTTCGAGTGTGAACCTTTTTAACAAAGGAACTTAATTTTTTAATTTTTGCAGCTGTTAGATTATTTTTTGGTCGGAAGTTCAAAAAAGAAATCATTCTGAATTATTACGATAATTCAATAACCCTTAAATTTAGAATAATTTAAAAAAAACTCATTGGATGCAAATAAATATTTTATGATATCAAACAGAGAAGAAAGTAATAAAAATAAGTGCAATGAATTAAAGTCAGAAGTATAATTTCACTAGTCTTTAATATATAAAAAAATGATACTGATTGAGCATGGATCGTCTGCTTTTCTTAAATAAAATAGACACTTTTAAGCTCTAGTTTATTGATTTTCAAAAAAAATATTTTTGCGTCCTTCCGAGTTGAAGAAAAATAGCGGCGTATGATTTTATTCCGGCACCGCTAGATGAAGCCAGGTCACTCCGGTCAAGAAGCAACAACAGAAGAAATTTGGCACCGCCAAGCGAGGATGTGAAAATAAAATCGAGGTCGCTCTCTCATCTAAGACAAATCCATCGACTGGTGTGAAATCCGGTTTCTTCACTGTTATTGCTTCGGACATTATACCTATTAGAAGTCATTCAGAGAATTACTACCTTACCTCTTTCTATATTTGTTTTAAATGTCGTTTGACTTTCTGGAGACCTCATGCAGCATATTTGTTTTTGTAAAAACAGTTGTTTGCAGTAGATCCTTTATTGTAAAAAAAAAAGGTACAATTTTATATCGTTTATTGTAAAAAAGTCATATTTTATTTGCACTATATATTTTTTTAATTTATACATACATGTTATCGGCCATTATTTGGCACACAAAGCACAATTTGTGCAATTCCTTTCATTTTGGTTTCGGTATTCAATAAAGTTTTAACGTATTTCTTTTTCTAAACTCGGCTCGTGTCGCTTGTTTTTGTCGTGTGCTTTTTGGCCCTATGTATTAACGTTACTTCAAACATTTGCTTACTTTCTTTCGTAGTGTTTTTACCTTATGAACCTATATTAATTTGTATTTCATATACTTCTGTCGGTACCTCCACGAAAACGCTAAAAAACAGCATACCGTGGCGAAAACCTGCTCCAAACGTAATAAAAACATAGTTTTATCGTCAAAATCTTTGTTAATAATAACAAAGATTTTGACGATGAAACTGTTTATTTTTATTATTAATTTATTAAGAGTACTGATCAGAACATTTTTGAATATTTAAAATTGTTTACTCCTTTTTAGAACATTCGAAATTTTGATTAAAAACTCGTTTTTCTTGCGTCAGCGGCTGTACAAACTTTTAGCAAAACAAATTTTTTAGCCTCTTTTCTTTGGAAATCCTCGCAGAAATCAAATAATTCTTGGATTTTAATGAAATTTTCAGAACTTATTCACAAATATATGAAATTATTCTTGAAATTTATTTTTAGAAAATATTGGTAAAAATAATATTTTTACATATGTTACCCCCCCCCACTTAACTTACTGAAAACTTGAGAAATTCAATGTGATAATTTTTAGTGACTATATTAGTTAAAAGAATTCTTTGAAGAATTTAAATCACCGGTTTTATTTTTCAAAACCGGACCCCGTCTTATCGAAAATCTGTTCTAAATCGAAAAATAAGACACAATAAAACTAAGACATTATTTAATTAGAGAAGCTTTTAATTGTTTTTATGAATAATATATATTAAAGACAATATCCCTACACGCAAGCCACCAATCTGCCATTGGTCGCATGCCACTAGCGTTTATCGCTGTCGGACCGCCAGCGTGTTCGTCACGGCAATGCTATTGCTGGCGTTGCCATCGGAGGCATGCCAGCGGGCCAGTAGCGGCTTGCGTGTAGGAATTGTCTGAAGAAAAATATTTCAATGAAAAATGAATTTTTATAAGGTTTGCTTTCATTTTTTAAAGTTAATAATTTATAAAGTTTTTTAATATTTTAAAATTAATTTTCAGTGAGATTGTTGTGGATCTAGGAGGGCTGCGTGAATATTTGAAGTTGTGCTACAAATAAAACATGCAATATCCATAAACATAAATTATAAAAATGGCCAAATGGTATCGATATTCAATTACTACAAAAGGGACAACTTTGGAACAACAAATTAAATTTTATATACACAATTTTACAATTTTTTTGTTTTGTAATGATGTATGCGATAGTATATTTAAGAGAAAAAGTTCTTTACGGTTTCAGAAATGTTCAATGACAAAAGTTAGTAAAAGTTGTCTGCCTTTTACTATAAAAGTTAAATTCTAATTAGACAAAAGGTTTTTCTATGAAAGATATTGAATGGAAAAGTTTGTAGTGTAAATTTTCCTAATCTCTCATAAAGGAAGTTTGTTTTAAAATGCAGTATAAGAATTAAGTTTTCTTAGCGTCTCTCTGACTTGTATCTCCTTTGAGTGTATAAATATCTTTCTGCACGCGAGTAAATCTCTGTGCATATCTCTTGTGTGTGAGAATCTCAATTTATTTATTGTATATAAAATACAAGTATGGCACAAAGCCGAAAAGCGGAAAGGGGTTGAGGCTGGTCCACACTATACCTAGCTAATCTGATTCACGACCCATTCACTCGTTACAAATTGCGCATTCAACACAAGAACTCGTCCGTCACCAATCAATCCTCCATCCACCATAATACCGCATCCTCTCAGGGGGACCTACAAAATGCACCCCGAGATTTAAAAATTTGAGAATCTCAATACGCCGAAAACTCATTCGTCGTTTATATTTATAGTTTTCTTAACGACTAAATCGGCTCAACGAAGGTTCACCACATGTTGCCAGTAATTCTCAGAAATGCGTGGGCGATATTGTATTTTTTATTTTTTTATCCAATGGGATTTCTTGAAACATTTAAATTAAGGTTG